TGGGGAGCCGCCGCGCCTCCCGCTACCCCCCCCGCCATTCCCCCCGCCAGGCCCGGCTCCACGGAAAATGGCCACAGCTTGAAAGCCAAGTGAGCTGTCCCGTCTGTGCCGGACTCGGCAGGAAGGCTACTGCTGATTTTCCATGGGGCCGGGATTTCAGCGCGGGAGCTTTGCACGGGAGGCATCAGATGGGGATGCGATGAGAACAGCAGGAAATGCCTCAGCCGGAGCTTTTCCAGCGCTGAGCTTGTGATTCACAGCAGCAGGCAGCATTTCCGCCCCACGGCTCGCTCCTGGCGCGCAGCAGCCGTGGTTGCAGGCTTTGACGGCATCCGCATTTCACTTTCCCGGCACAGCCAGTCCCTGGGTGGGCGATGGGGGTACCGGTATCTTCATTCGAATGCCCCCTCCTGAGGCAGAAAACATGGGTCTTCCTCCAGAAAGCTGATCCTAAATCCTGTGTCCCAGCGCCGCTAACGGGCTTCCCCCGCCTGCCTGCGGACCCGATGCAGGTGCTGGTGCGTGTGGGTGTTTGGGACTGGCGACCGCGGGAGCCGGCGGTGCCTCGGTGGGCTGAGCGGCGGCGGGAATGGCACGCAAGCTATGCTGAGTGCTTCCCAAGCTTTTGTTTTTCTATCCAACTTGCTGCCATCCCTGTTCACCTAGCATCCGCTGCCCACCCTCTCACCCATCACCGCGCACTCCTGTCCAGCCGTCGCCTTGTCCTGTGGCCTCACCTCCATGTCCATCCTTAATTTATTTTCCCTTCCCCACGTCATGCTGGCTGCTCCAGACCACACGTGAGGGGTGACTTTTGGTGCCGAGACCCCCCTGGCCCGAGCAGCCCCTCTGTGGGCACGGCATGGGGTAAAGCGGGATGCCTCCGAGTGTCCCCTCACCATGGGACCCTTCTCGGCGCCGGGACCCCGCCGTACCTGAGCCCGCGGCCCTGGGGCTTGCTGCCGCTACATCAAAGCTGCCTTTGCAGCGCCTGCGGTGCCTCGCCGTGCCGGCCCGCACCACCCGGCTCCCTGTTGGCTCCTTCCTCTGCTCCAGCGTCTCACACGCTCTGTGGCTCGTTGATGATGAAAACCACTGGCCACATGAAAGCATCTCCCCTAATGCGAGTTAGGGGCCTGCAAGCTACGTGGGAGGTAGCAGACAGCACAGCCCTGGCTGGGGCGCAGCGGCCAAGTCATTAACGAGGTGACGAGGATTGCAGAGCCGGCTCATTAGTGCTGCAAGGCAAGTGCGTCACGTTGGCTGCCGGACACGCCGGTGCCATCGTTGGAGCAGCCGCGTTCTCTTTGTGGGCTGCCGGAGTAAAGCCAGGAGCAGGAGCGATGCTACGAGAGCCGAGCGAAGGCCCTGGCGCAGCCAGCAGCCCAGATGCCTTGCACGTTCGTGAGGATTCATGCCCAGTTCTTGCAGCAACCCTCCTGTCCGTGGAAATGCAGGGGAAGCTGCACGTGGCCATTTTCCTCCCTCTTTTACCCGGGAACAGGATCCGCGGGGCTGCACATCTCGTGGAGAGCTGGAGCGGGGCCAGAGGTGATGTCCCAGGGGAGGCGGTGGCTGGAGCCGGCCCGGCAGGGCGGTGGTGCTCGGAGCAGGTAGAGGGATGCATCAGCTGGGGTCACCTCCGTCACACAAACCACAACCTCCCCTGACCTTCATACTTTCCCGCTGCCTCACCGCTCCCGGTGGATGCGCTCACTGCGGTGTCGTAACGAGCAGAAGAGGAAACAGATTTCCCAATCGCCTGCCCCGCTGGCAGCCCGCGAGCCCTCCATGCTGGGAATGGCAGCCGGCACGGCTGGGGCAACTGGCTCACCCCCGTGCCACGCCATGCCGCGTGCACCAGGTATGAACCAGGGCCCGGCAGGAGAAGGCAGAGAGGGGCCGTGGACAATCCCTGGCTGATGTTCAGGTGTTGCAGGCTGCTGCTGTTTGAGAGCATCGTCCCTCCCTCGGGGTCAGCTCGCTGTTGCTCCTTTCCTGTGGATGGGAAAGCCCACGTGCATCACCTCGGCCAGGGCGAGCAGGGCCGGGTGCCAGGGGACGGCACTGCCGTGTTTCCTACTGGGCAGCGCTTCCCAGCGCACAGCTGGAGGGAAGGAAGGGATCCCCCGCTGCAGAGCAGGGAGAGCCAGCAGTGCCGGGGCAGCCTTCTGCATGCTCCGCTCAACCACCCGGGGCTTACTGGCACACAAGGAGCCTCCTGAAGGTGACCGAAATTCCTGTGCCAAGGGACATCGGGTGGGACAGGGCATCGGTGGCTCCTGGAACGGGCGTCACCCCTCACTTTCGTGGGGATCCCGTCATTGCCTTGAGAGGGGAGGTAGTCATTCCATGAATATTTGGCCTCCTCTTCATTTCCCCCAAATTCAATTCCAGGGGAAGATGACATCGAGGCAGGAGAAAGGGGGTTTTTCTCCAGGGAAGAAATTCAAACCACATGCGGGCAGGCTCGCCGCAGTAGCAGAAGGAGGGACCGGGGCTGCGAGAGAGCAGGCTCTCAGCAGCGAGGCCAAACGTAAAGTCAATTAGCACTTCCAGGACTCCGAACATGCTTGAGTGCTGTGCTTCGAGCAGGCGTAATCCCCATCGGAGGGAGGCTGCCAATAGGGTTTGAAAATAATTAGGAAGCCCAGAGCTCCAGTGCTTCCCAGAAAAGCCTGTTAGCTCTGTGGTGGAAACCTTGCTTGCAGGGAGCACGATGCACAAACACAGTCGTGACTCATCAGCTGGATGGAGCTAAACTCAATTTTTCGGAGGTCAACACGCTCGAGTCCTAATGAGCTTTACCCTCAGTGGGGCTCCTGTGCTCCCTTTGCCTGCCTTAATTCAGGGGATGCCCAACATGCCTGAGAGTAATGGGGACGGTTTCACAGGACGTGTGTCATCCAGAGACACCAACACCTTCCTAAGGGGCAGTGGTGATAGGGAAACTGAGGCAAAAAGTGCTCGAACCACCTGAGCCAGTGGCCTGCAGGGCAGCAGCAACCCTGGTGCCCCGACCCTCTGCCCCTGGCCGGAGCCTGCACCCCACCAGGCCCATCCCTGCGACCTGGGTGGATGCTGTTGTCCCCCCCCGCTCCCAGGGGACCTCAGATGTGAATCAGAACGGCCCGGGACAGCCTTGGAGGAACAAAACAAGACAATCAATCACCCTTGCTTCACTCCCACCCCAGTCTGCAGGCTGTGCTGGGTTGCATTGTGCAGAGCCGGAGGGACTCCACATCAAAGTGGGGACCAGCTGGCTGCCGGGCCGCCCCAGTGCCCAGACGGGCAGCGCCCTGCCCATGAGCTGCCTGTCTGCGCTGCTTGACTGGGCTCTGCCTCCGCTCGCTGCCCGGGGGCCAGGCGGCAAAGCTGGGATGCAAAACTGCTCCCTGCTTGGGGTGCGGAGGGGGATGCCTGAGGCCACGTCGCCTGCATCAAAGGCAGGGAGGTGTGGATGCTGCCCCGGGGCCGGGACCCCACCGCAGCATGCCGGGGCCGGCAGCACCTTCCCTCCACGGGGGCAAGGAGGAGGAGGAGGAGGAGGCACCGCATGCAGAGGAAGAGCTGGTCCCATCCCAAGCTCATCCCGGAGCACTTCAGAGGCTGCGCGAAGCCCGCGGAGCCGCAGGGATGGCACAGCATGCTCCCATGGTGCAGCTCCTGCTATCCTCACAAGACCCTTTCCTTTGCAGTTCCTTCCATGACACATGGTGGTCGCTTCCCCTGGGCTGCTGCAGACAGTACATTCGGTTTTGGATGTCGTTTGCAGCTCCCCGGCATTTCTCCCCATCCCAGGCACGCACGGATGGTATGAAGCAATGTTCTCGGGGAGTATCAGCTTCCCGGCTCAGCGCTGTTGGGTAAGCGCTCGCCTTTCTTCTGAGGAGCTGGTGGTGAATATTCCCCGACGAAACCAGCCCAACGTGCTGGCCGGTGGGGCTGGGGATGGCGAGGGGAGAGCGGGGGGTCTGGTCATGGTGGGCTGGGCCGGGCCATGGTGAGCTGGCGAGGTTAGCCGCATGGGACGGGGGGTCCGGGCAAGGGAGAGCACCCAGATCCCCCTGGAGCAGCGCACGTGTGTGGGTGCAGCAGTGCAACAGCAATTTGGGTGCAAAACCCCAAATATCCCCTTTTTCCCCACTAGCAAAAGCGTCGGGGTGACTCTGCCCCGCGACCCTCAGCACGGGACGGAGCAGGAAGGACCACGTCTCTGCATGCAGGTAACCAGGCTGAGCCCCAACGCCTGCGTCAACCGGCCCCGCCACGCACAGCCCCCTGCTACACCCCAAAACAGGTCTATGCCCTGCTCCGGCCCCACTCCGGTGCTTGCTACAAGGCTGCCGGTGCCGCAGCATCACAGATGCAGCCAGGAAAGAGCCATCAGGGCACCTGGAGAGCAGCAACCTGCTGGCGGCACCGGTAGTCCAGAGACCCCCGAGCGCTGTCGGGGAGGGGATGGAGGCAGCAAAATCCCACTGCAGGGTGGGTTTTATCATCAGGGCTGAGGGTGGGGTGGGGATGCAGCCGGTGCCACCGGCATTCACCCTCCTCAGGGCGCACGAGTTGTGTGTGCAGGGCTGGGGGAGCACCTCCTGCCATTGCCGCCTGCGGTACACGTGTGCCCGGGGTAGGTAACAACTGACATTTTTTCCAGTTCGCTAATTAAGGCACAGAATAAAAGTCACTAAAATACAAGGCTGGGTGTTTAAAGGAAAAATTCTTCTCCAGTTGCCAGGTTTATTAAAAGAAGGGAAAAAAACCAAGGGGGAGAGGCAGGGCCACAAGCTGGACAAAGAACGCACGGGGAAGGAGATGCCTGTGCAGGGTCGGATGATGTCAGGTGCGCGTGGGGGAGCGGCGAGGACGGGGGCTGCGGTGAGTCCCGGTGCCCCCACGCTGCCAAGCCCCCAGGGTGCCGGGTGGCCCCCGGGAAGCCATGCCCTGGGCATTGCTGTGAGGCAGGAGGTCCCCAGCTCCCCCTGAGCATCCTCCAGTGGGGCTGACACCCTGGCAGGGCCGATCCACATCCTTCCAAGGTTTCCCCGTTAACTGGTAGGAAACTGGACACGAGGGACACGAGGAAGACACATTCAGCTGGGGGCCACAGTTTGACGTGATGCTCGGGGCAGCAAAACCCCCCTGGCTCCTGCAAGCCGCCCCCGGGGGAGCAGGGACCCCCAGCAGCGCCGGCCGGCCAGGCTGGGGACGGCGGAGCTGTGGCCCCCGGCCCCCGTGCCACCCACCTTCGCCGGGTGCCTGCACACAGGCGTGGCATTTGCACTTACACATGTAAAGCATTAGGATTTGTTTAGAAGCCCTTTATTGTCATATTTTGTTCTTTATTTCCTACAAATTAAATTTGCTGAGGGATATGTGCGGATTGTGAAATTATTTTGAGAATAGTTCCTCTGGGTTTTTTAATTTCCTTTGTATTAAATTTTTACAATGTTTAAAAGACTATGAAAAATTTTAAATCAGAAAAGTAGGACAAAATCCCAGGGAGGAAAGGAGGAGAGCCCCAGAAGGTGACCAGCCACGGGCTGGAGCTGGGACCAGCCGCTGCCGCCTCTGTTATCGCAGGTGCCGGGGACAGTCCGGCACAGATGCCCCCCTCCTGCTCCCCCGCCGTCCCGGCCCTGCTGCGCACTGGGAACCGGGACTGGGAGACACTGGGCCGGCTGCCCCGCAGCCGGTGCTGGAGTGGGACCCGCCGCCCCACGAGGCCGCATGCTGAGGCTGTTCCCACCAGTCGCACAACCTGGCCTTTCCCTTTCCTTCGCTCCTGGCGCCAGATCGGGCCCTGGGGCTCCACCGACCCTCCGCCTGTGTTTCCAACCCAGAGCAATCGTTTGGTGCAGACATGAAAGCCCGTGGCCGGGCTATATGAAGCCGCCCTCCCCTGCGAACAATTTCCAACGTGATAATCTTCCCAATTATTCCCCTGAGCTGCGACTGCTGCAGAAAGCCAAGCTGCCCCCATGAAGGGCTCCACATCTTGGAAGCATTAGGGACCCCTTTCGCTGCCGGGGCGCGCGGCGGCGTAGCGATGGCCGGCCGGGAGTTGCCTTCCCACCCCTCCATCCCCTCCGCTGGGTGTTTCCAGCTCATTAAAATCACAGACACATTTTTCATCTCTTTATTTCTACCACTGTCATCGTCATTGTTTCAGGCTGGTGCAAATTGGGAACTGGCCGTGCACTGACGCTGCTGCTCCGCTCCACCCGGCAGCCGCTCTCGCCCCCCAGACGCACAGGAGGGCCCCGTTTCGGGGATGGGGACGGGGACCAGGATGGCACCGGCCTCCTGCCACCGCTCCCCTGGGGGCTTTTGCACCCAGGTCCATGGCACCGCCCGGCATGGGACCCCCAGCAGGAGGAAGGTGCCCCAGCTGCGGCACTGGAGGGGAGGGTGCCAGGGCTGTGCCAGTGTCCAGCAAAGGTCTGGGTGAGAGCCGCAGTGGGAATGCTGCTGCCGGCCAGGGGCAGGGGGTAGCAGGGGTCTCGGTGTAATTGCAGGACCCCACGGTGTTCCCGAGGAGCTCCAGGGGCTTGGCGGCACTGGGGATGGGGACTGGAGGCAGCAGGAAACCCAAAAACAGGGGACATCATCCCCAGGCTCAAGGGACCGGGGACAAGGACTCCCCTTCCATGTTCTCTGGTCCCCCGCAGTGCCAGGGCGCCCATCCCCAGGCAAGGGGCCTTGGCCTCCACGCCGCCGTTCGGCCCCCCGCGCCGCAGTCGGCAGGAGTGGCTGGTTTGTGCCTCTCCAGCACAGCGCGGCAGACGGGAGGGAGCGGCTGGGCTCCTCCCAGCCCTATGGGAGCAAACGGGCAGCTGATGTGGAAAATAATTATGCGACAGGATTTCTCCATTAATAACAAGGAAAAGGAAGAATTCAGTGAATGTGTAACTTTGATCGAGAGCGAGGAGATGCCAGGGCTGCACACAGCAAAGTTGTCCAGTGCAGTAGGATGCTACCGGCGAGCCAGCAGCACCGTCCGACCGGGAAGAACGACTGAGGGTGTTTGAATAAGCTGGGATGTGGGGATGCAGGGATGCAAGTCCCGACCTGATGGTCCCTCTGCCCACCACGTCCCTCTGCCCGTGCAGACCCTCTCCCCAGCCTCAGGGTGCTGAGGCCGCCTCAGCTCAGCTCAGCTCCGCTCAGCTCAGCTCAGCTCAGCTGTGCTCAGCTCAGCTCAACTCTGCTCAGATCAGCTCAGCTCAGCTCAGCTCTGCTCAGCTCCGCTCTGCTCCACTCAGCTCCGCTCAGCTCCGCTCAGCTCCGCTCAGCTCAGCTCAGCTCAGCTCAGCTCAACTGTGCTCAGATCAGCTCAACTCTGCTCAGCTCAGCTCTGCCCAGCTCAGCTCCGCTCCACTCCTCTGGCCCTGCTGGGGAACTTGG